CCCCCCCCCCCCCCCCCCCCCCCCCACCCCCATCCCCATCTCCATCTAGCTGAAAAAGGTGTGCCAGAGAAAGAGAAGTTTGTGGAAAGACCAGCTGGATTTACTGTTCTTAGGGTAGATCCAGGGTGTTTCTCTGGATGTTAGGATGTAGTCAACACGTAGCCACATAGTGAAATTATGGGTTTGAACCCCACTTGAAGTTTTTCTACTGCTTGCATATTTATCCAGTCATTATAATGATATGATTTCAAAATTTGCTTCTGCCTCCCATTTGGTAAAATCTACCAGTGGAGAAACCCACCCAGTGGACCACCCCCTGAGCAGCATAAATTACTGAGGGAGACCCCCTCACCCCTCTGGTCAGTGAAATCTACTGGGGGACCCCCCATCCCCTCGAAATTCATTTCTGCTTAAGTGCTTGATGTGGAGTGATGTGTGTGTGGGTGGAGTGCTGACATTCTTTTCGGATTTAGTACTATTTAGAAACTTTATGCATCTGTATCCCAGGATAGGTGTATAGGCAACACGGTCTGTCCCATAGTGAGTCTTATTCCTTTAAAAAGGGGTGGTGAAAAGAACACAGACACAACCTTCCCTTAAATGTAAATTAAGGTGTAACAACTTAGGAGGAAATGTAGGATGGCGTGTTCGTCACAAGCCCTAACTTGCCTGGTAATCTGTTTAAGAGTGGGCGTGAAGAGTTGAAAAGAAGGATATTAAGGAGTAAAGCAGGAGTAAATAGTAGTCTTCATTTCAAGCTGGAGGTATCTCTGTGAGTGTTCCTGAGGTCCTCGAGAATCTCATTTATATTCTGTGTACTTGATCGACAAATAAGTAACAGGTGAGTGAACTCATGGCTGGGAATATTGCAGTTATGTAGGCCAGAACAGAAAAGTATGAGTAAGAGGGGTGTTTTTGGTGTGCTTTTGTGTATGTATGTATTATGTATGTATGTATTATGTATGCATGAATGTGCTTGGGTTTCTAATCTTGTGGAGATATACAAAAAAAATTAAGAGACCACTCCATATTTTTAAACAAATCTGCATTTTTAAATCTTGGTTTAATCCTGGTTCTGCTGGCAGAAGCTACGCTGAGCAACAGGTTGCTTTCAGGTTCCAGACAGCAGTACACAAGAATGAGATGAAGCATGTGAGACAGAGATCAAACAGAAACCAGCCAGGTAAAGGGCGGTAGTAACTTCCTAATGCCAGAGATGACCGTTAACTTATCCGAGAGTTTGTCATGAATCGATTGAAGAGTCCTTCAAAAGGAATGGGAAGCATTAAGTGCATGTGTGAAGTGCAAATGCATTGTTAGGACAGTTTGTATCAGGCTCCTAGAAGCAGGACTGAACTCCCATAAAGCAAGAAAAGAGCCCTTCAATAATGAAAAACAGAGAAGAACCAGGCTGCAGTTTGCAAATATAAATTATTCACAGACGCACACCCATAAATTGAGAAATGAGTTGAAAAGAAAAATTGTGCTATGGTCTCTTCATTTTTTGTATTTCAAGAAATTGTGGCAACAAGGATACTAAAAAGAATTTGTGGGGGTTGATAGTCTTGATTCAGTGATTGGGAATGTGGTGTGATTTAGCACATTAGAATGATATCCCCACTAAGACAAAGACAGGAATTCAAATGAGTGCAGGTATATGTATGTCTTTTTCTGTAAGAATATGTGCCTTTGCATGTATTGATTGATGTATTGACTAGGATGTACGTTCAACCATCTTACGCAAAGCGATAACAAATACAATGATCTAATACACGGATCAAATACATGACCAAATACAATAATGTAAAACACTCTTTTACCAAACAGCACAACAATTTGCAAATCCACTAACAGATGGTATTTGCTGTTCAGTTACATATAGAAAATAGATCTCACTGTTTATTTTTCTCTTTCGTTTAAATACTCTTTTGTATTTTTTGTATTTTGTATTTGTGGGCATCTTTTCAGTTTGTTTACTGTTTGTTTTGAAATCTGTGCATCTGTTGACTCACTTTCTCCAAGACCTCTCTCACCTCAACAAGTTACGTCATAGTACTATACATCTAAGCTTATCTGGGTCGCTGAAGGAAGTTAGACTTCAGGGTAATTTAAAGACGAAGGCCTTACACTCCCTGGGTTGCTGTGATGTACGTCATCTGGTTTTTTAATTGTTACTTGTATTGAATAATCGAATCAACACCTATTTTTTTCAATAATGTAGTAGAGATCATTTTTATAATTTACTAGCATTGTCATCATACATCTCTCTCTCTTTCTCTTAGAGAACATCAATGGCACAGAACGACGTTGCCTTCTCCTCTTCCTTACTCTCTTCCTCCATCCACAATGCCACAGGTGGGCAGAACATACTGGGCAATGTGCCCACTGCTTTGGGGGCCCTCATCCTGGTTCTGGCCTTTCTCCTCGGCTGCCCTGGAAACCTGTTCATTATATGGAGCATCCTTGCACGTAGCCAGAAACAATCTGTTCCCACCCTTCTCTTTCTACACCTAGCCTGTGCTGATGGCTTCCTGATGGCGCTCACACCGTTCTTTGCAGTCTACCTGGCTAAGCGTTCGTGGGAGTTTGGCAACATTATGTGCAAGGGGCTATTCTACCTGTGCAGCACCAACATGTACGCTTCCATCCTCCTAATCTCACTCATGAGCCTGTACCGACTGGTGGCGGTCATGTGGCCCCAGCGTCTGCGCGCTGTCACGGGCTGGAGGACTGTACTGTGGGTTTTAGCTGGACTCTGGATGCTGGTGCTGGTCTTGTCTTCCCCTGTCTTGATATTCCGACAGAACAGTGAGACTGAAGAAAATGGAACTCGACGTACAGTTTGCACCACCAATCACACCCTTCCGCAGCATGTGAGTGACATGGGTTAGTGGTGGGACATTATAAATAATCCTCCACATGCAGTGACTATGTGATCCTCTCATTGTCTATGTGATCCTCTCATTGTCTATGTGATCTTCTCATTGTCTATGTGATCCTCCTCTCATCGTCTATGCGATCCTCTCATTGTCTATGCCAGTGGTCCCCAACCTTTATTTCGTCACGGACCAGTTTAATATCAGAAACTATTTTCACGGCCTGGCCTTTAAGGAGTGGCAGATAAATATACGTATACGTATTTATACGAATAAGTGATACGTATAAAAATGGGGATTTTTAAAAATATAATAATGGGGTATCTTTAAAATATAATAATAAATGTAAATTTAATCTGTATTTGCAGCTTTATTAACAGCATCCTCATAACATCGAGCCAACAACACAACACGGGTAACATCCACTCAGCACGATAATGCTCTCTGGTCACCATGGTAAACTTTGAACATCTTGTTAAAATAATTCAAGATTTACCACAAAAACAAATACAAAGTGCATAAAAAAATACGACTTCACCGCAACGCTGAATCAGTGAGAGCCTTGGGCCTGTTTCTCTGCAGCGAGCCTCTCCCATCTAGGGCTGATGGGAGACAACGACACCTCATTTGAAAGCCAATTGCCACATATTACGCAGAGCGGCCTTGGTGCATGGGAATCGCCGGTTGCAATAAATCCAAATTTTAAATAGGACTCCTGGTACTGTCTGTTAAAATTAGCTTTCCTCTTAGACGTAGTAGGCTCCTCTTCTGTCTCCTCACTGGGTCTTTCCCCCTTTCCAAAGAAACGATCAAGAGACATTTGTTTTTTATACATCTTACTAGCTTGTGGGACTATTTTTAGCGGTTTTTTATTTTTTTTGTGCAGCCCGCGGGCAGGTACCACATGACCCATGGCCCAGTACCGGTCCGCGGCCCGGGGGCCACTGGTCTATGCGATCCTCTTATTGTATATGTGATCCTCTCATTGTCTATGTGATCCTCTAATTATCTATGTGATCCTCTCATTGTCAATGTGATCCTCTCATTGTCTATGTGATCCTCTCATTGTGTATGTGATCCTCTAATTGTCTATGTGATCCTCTAATTGTCTATGTGATCCTCTCATTGTCTATGTGATCCTCTCATTTTCTATGTGATCCTCTCATTTTCTATGTGATCCTCTCATTGTGTATGTGATCCTCTAATTGTCTATGTGATCCTTTCATTGTCTATGTGATCCTCTAATTATCTATGTGATCCTCTCATTGTCTATGTGATCCTCTCATTGTCTATGTGATCCTCTAATTATCTATGTGATCCTCTCATTGTCTATGTGATCCTCTCATTGTCTATGTGATCCTCTCATTGTCTATGTGATCCTCTCATCATCATCTCGTCTCATTTTTGATTCCTTTACCGTGACTTACAGTCCACACATTTCTCTTGCCTTCCTACAGGTCATGATTGTATTAAGCACTTCCCACCCTGATGCTTCCTCTTTGCAGGTTATTTTTCACTACACCTTAGAGACACTGCTAGGATTTCTCCTGCCCTATGGGGTGATCGTGACCAGCTACGTGTGTATTCTGCGGCGAATACGGCAAACTAGATTCCGCCGCAAGATACGCAGTGAGAGGCTAATCTTGGCAATTGTGGTGATTTTTGCAATCTTCTGGCTCCCATATCACATCATCAACGTGGTGCAGGTACTCACGTGTTCGGAAGTCTCTGTTTATGTGCCAGGGTTATTCTCATTAAAATTAACGAAAACTGAAACTATAAGAAAACATTAACATGAACAAAAATATGAAAATGACATTAAAAAGTACAACTAAACGAAAACTATAAACATTGCTTCCAAAACTAAGCTAAGTAAAATAAAAACATCAAATGCTTCCCATTACCGTTTTTAGTGCTATTTAGCTAAAGTATTGGTTTTCTTATCTTTAATTACCATTAATAATGCCTGGAACATGCTTTGCCCATTTTAAGAATTTCAGTACATTATGTGCACTGTGTGTTTCTCAGTATAGCTACTCAGATCCAGCGTTCCACTATTGCACTGACCAGTTGTTTTCTTGCAGATAGCAGCCGTGCTCTGTCCCGTTTCTTCCCCCCTAAAAGCCCGGTATGGCATTTTTGCACTTTTTTTATGCACGTTATTATTAATGCTTGAATAAAGTTTTAAATGAGGACTAGTGGATGCTATTCAAATACATGAAAGGTATATATCTTTCCAGCAGGAGGTGTACTCTACTTTGAAGACCTTTGTTGTAACTATAGGCATAATTATAAGTATAATAATGATGCTAATTAGGATTCTAATTACAAATACAGGTTGGATGACATTTGGCAGTCAAGCCGCACAGTCACGTCCGCCCTGGCCTTCATCAGCAGCTGTGTCAACCCCGTGCTCTACCTCATTGCCGGGAAGGCTTACATCCAGAAGGCAGGCTTAGCTTTCATGGTGCGGCTGTTTGAGAGCACTGATTCGAGCATCAAGGGAGGCCGGAAAATCAGCCAGGATACTCAGGAACAGGGGAGAGACGGGCAAAGTCTCAAGGAGGTAGAGTGCTTTGGTCAATACAAATGTGACGCTTAAGCAATAGCAGAAATGCCACTGCGATGATACTTGACAGTTTCTTAAAAGATTGTTTTTTTCCATAGCCCCTTATCAGTTTTCATTTATCGCTCTATTTTTTGTGACCTACTCAGCACAACGCAGGGCTAACTGCAGTCTGGTCTGATACATGTTTGTTGCAACACTAAATTGAATCTTGGTTCTTTTATATAACATGTGGATGATTCGCACCTATTTTTCACCACAGCCTGATACAGTACATTGTAGATTCCATAGCTCAAAGTGGAACAGATTATCAGGAGGCTTGTTTACCTAAACAGAAAGAATATTAGTGCTAATCAGGGACTGTAAGATGCTCAATAAAGGACTGCACACAGGAACAGGACTTACTATGAGATTTGGCCAGAAAGCTGGCTTGTCCATATTAGCCACAGATACGCCAAGCAAAGTCAGTACTAGCAAGTTGCGGGGCTCGAAGGAAAACGACCATTTTGAGACGATGAATTATCCATTGGAGGTGATTTGAGAAATAGAGATTAAAAGCCTAGTGTGCAAGGTCAGAAACTGCCAAGTTTAACCCAGTGGAAGCCAAATGGTTAAGGGTTAAAATTCTAGTTATTTAATACATTTTTGAGTTTTATTGGAAAAGGTCAAGGAATCATTACTTATATCAAAATCAGTCAGTGGCAAGACCCAGAAAACACAGAAATACAATTATGTGCGTGATGGAATAATATATTTTTTTATTCTAAAATAAACGTGAAAATTAATGTAAAAGCTGAATTTTGTCAAATAACAAAATATATACATATTAAAATCATAACATCTTAAATGTTTGATACTGTTTGATCTTTTAAGTGAAATTGAGTAAACAAGAGAAGAATGCTTATTGTTTGCTTATGAGAAGAAGAATGTCATGATTAAATGGCACAAGCATGAGAAAAGCAAGAATATTTTTACACACAGACTTGGATACTATGACCGAATGGTTATATGTAGATAAATATATGACAGTTCCTGCGCGACTCTTTGGGTTTGTTGACTTTTTGTTCATTTTTCAGCGCATGTGTGTTGATAGGTTCCAGTTATTTCTGCTGCTGCATTCAAGCATTACAGTCTTCATATGTTACTTTTTTTTTTTTAGTTTCTCAACGGTGTTGTTGCATATTCCAGTAGAACCAACCCAGTGCTCAGTTCTTCAGTGACTTACTCCTTTTGATCGTTTTTCTCCTTTCCTGAATTGTGCCCCATTCTCAGAGATTCCCCATTCTGTTCGCCAGCATTCCCCCCCCTGTCCCCTTGGCTGTCCCCCCTCCTGCTTTGAGTTTCTGAGGAAGTTCCCTCCAACAAGCGGGCGATGCAACCGAGTCCCGAGGTACCAGACAAGGTGGAGCCGGTGCAGGCGTATAGCAGAGGATTTATGGAGCTACTGAGGAAGGCCAGGGCGATGACCATGGGCCGGATAGTCTTGCATATATCTAGCAGCTTCACCCCTTTCTCGCCGGCCAGGATTGCGCTTGTCTGCAGCAGGTTGACCAGATGGTAGGGCACCCAGAGTAGGATGAAGCTGGCCATGATGAGCACAATGAGGCGTCCAGTCTTGCGGCGGGAGCGGCGGCGCCAGCGGAACTGGGCAGCCTCCAGGGTGCGGGAGATTCTGCAGTAGCAGAGAGCCAGCATGATGAATGGCAAGACGAAGGCCGCCACCAGCTCCAGGCCGTAGTGGAACACCTCATGTCCTGCACTGGGGTAATTAGGCTTACAGTAACTCTTTGGATCCACGTGCTTGTACACAGCCACTGGAATGGACAGCACCAAGGCCAGTGTCCAGATAGCTCCGATTGCTGGCCTGAGGCGAGACTTGGTGCGGACGCGCTGAGACACGAAGGGCCGGGAGACGCCCAGAAGGCGGTCACCGGCCATCAGGGTGATCAGGTAGACGCTGACGTACATGTTGACGCCGCATCCATAGTGTAGCATACGGCAGGCAGTGTCCCCGAATTCCCAAACCCCACCGGCCGACAGCTGCCGCAGAAAGAAGGGCGCAGTCAGCAGCACCAGGCAGTCAGCCGCGGCCAGCTGAAGGATTATCAAGGCGGTGATGGATCGCCGGCGCAGGCGAAACAAGACAGTCCAAACCACAAACAGGTTCCCAGGTAGACCCACTACCAAGGCAACCACCAGCAGGGTAATACCAACAGCTGGAGATGGACGGCCTGACGAAGAAGTTGAGTTTGAAACTGGGCCAAAAGAGAAAGTAGGTGTAGAGGGAGTTAATCCAATCATTGTGTCATCTGGATTCTATAACAGAAAGGAGAAAGCAGAATTAAAATGGCAAATTCTTTTCACTCTAATGTTATTCGTTTTACTTTATGGGCTGTTATTTAATTCCTGTTCTGAGTGCTGTGAAAGAAGAATACAAACCACAAGCCAGTCATTATCTCCCTCACAAAAATAACAAGTAGTTATTATAAGGGAGAATGTACAACAAGTTAATTAATATTTCCCAGTGAAACATGCATCGACAAAACAGAGACAGGAGTTTCCTAACAATTTCTGAGTAAATCAAGAAGAACTGGTTCTACAGTAAAAAGCAGCCCCACATACCTTCCTTCAGTTTTACATGGACCGATTTTACTTTTTGTTATGCCTCCTGTTTACCGTTTCTGAGACATGGGAAGGGTATGGCTGGTTTAGGGATGGGCTGAGGTCCAAGACTCTCTGCTCCTCTGTGACAAACCGTTAAGCATAAAAAGGCTCCGTTTGTGAGGAAATGACACCAGGAGAAATGGTTTTAAGGCAGTTCCGGTTTGGTTCAGTTATGATGAGCAAGCAAAACAGTCAATCGCTCAGCTTGTTCGCATCCCAGTAGTGCTAATCAAATCATCCAGTCCCCATGCCTGGTAAATCTCTCTGTATTACATACTTTCCCTGCATAACCTCAGTCTCCCTATTGAGCTACTCTTGCTTCCTTCCAGTAAACCTTCCTGTATGCGCAAACTCCCGTGAGGTAACAAAATGTTGCGCACCGAGCTCTCCTTGCCTTTACCAACCCGTTGTCGGTTCCATCTAGAATTGAATATTACTCACATTTTCTGTCATTCTTCTACAGCTTCGCTGTCACCCCTTTACTGTAAAAGATTTGAAAGAATGTACAAACGGTAACTTAATTTAGCAAGCGCTTCATGTACTACAGCTAATTAATACAGCTATCTTCTGACCATCTGTAGTTTGCACCCGCTGTGATATTTAAATCATAAGATAATACAGTGTAATTGAGAAGGGCTCTTCCTGTGACAGCACAGTACTTCTCCCTCCTGCAAGAATGTAGCTGAAATATGTCTCTCCAACAGTCACACACCTACCGCGTTAACAGCCACATTTTGTACAGTGCATAATCGACTAGTCTACTGTTACTGTTAATTCTTTCCCTTCCAGATATATATATATATACATATAAAGAGAAACCACTGTTGGACTGAGATACCAGCTGCAGAGGTTCTTAGTCTTCATTTAATTTGTTCCCCCTTTGCTGATAATGACGGCACGCAGCGGTGTGGACAAACTCACAGGCAAACGTCAGTCTCGGTAGATGCCTCACATCCTTCGTCATCGGAACATCTGTTCTGTTGCTGGAAACGGGAAGGGCAATCAAATAAATCCAGCTGGCTCTTGCTGTATTGGCAGTGTGTGCATTGCAAAGATGACAGTGGGGATGATGAAACCATATCCGCTGAGCAAGCGGAACTCAGGGTTTCACCCATGAAATGTTCATCAAGCACAGCTTGCCACAACAAAACTCAAAAGGCATTGATCAAATGATATCTGAATTGGTGTTCTGGAAAGAGCTCAATATATATAATAAAGATAACAACAACAACAATAATAATAATAAGAAGAAGAAGAATCTATTTATATCGCTCTTTTCGTACATGAAATACAGCGCAAGGTGCTTCACACATGGGATTTAAATAAAAATATATATTCAAATAAGAAATATCTTAAAACATGGTGTCTGTGATCACATATTGCAAAATGTCAACAACTGCGGCTATTTGGTGCATTAGAAAGCTATAAACAACTGCATACTGTTACAGAGAGTTATAACTGTGGTAACAGATAGCTGTTGACAGGACAGCTGTGATTATAGACAATAACAATGATAACCATCTAAAGACAAATATGTATAATATATAATTGGAGACAAGCAGATTACTAATGACTCCAGCAGATCAGTTAATGAAAGCTAAAGACAATTACAGAAATATGCATAGGGGTACAAGCACCAATTCATTTTTTTGTTTCTAACTTCTATGGGCTCTGAGGTCAATGAACATGCAGTCATCAAAAACGGGTGCATGGAGAAGTGGATGGATGGTTGGATTTCAGTGTGTGTGTGTGTGTGTGTGTGATTCAAAGGGAAGGTTGCTACATATTTGACTGTGGCCACCCCTGTTTCCTGACTGTGGTAACCTCAGCTTCCTCTCAGCAATGAGACAGGAAGAGGCAGAGAGGGGGGGGGCAGCACACTGGGTTGCATGTTAAGCCATCAGAGGAACCCACGGACTCATAATGGTGAGCAGGAAGACAGCAGAATACTGAGAACATCTTTCCAGACAACTGGCTAAGACAGGTAGGTTCCAAAAAGATGTCCACGTATTCTGCCTGAACATCTAGTTGACTGCGCTAACTGCACCTAGCAGTGTCCAAATATTGCTGCTACACTTAGCATTCGGCAGCAGAGTTTTGCAACATTCTATAGTATAGGGTGTGATATTAGTGTCCTGTAACTGGCTGAGGTTAATAGACAGCAGTGTATGTTCAGTCGTGACATTGCCGGCAATGTTCAGCACAATTCTGTCACCAGCACCAAGATTCAGTTAATTAATACTGTTCTTGTGCATGATAAATGTTTTGTTTTCCTTTGTGAGATACCTTCATCAATGTCTGGAGAAAATTATCTAAACAGAGTGGGAGCCTAGAGTCAGTTCTTAATACAGGCCTAACAAAGGCCAGCACTTCTCTTGTGCCTTTTGCACCATGATGGCAACAAGTTAAATCTACATTTCAGTTTGGAAAGGACACTGATTATCATGCAATTCCCAATATTCTGCTTTCTGAAGGAGTTCTTAGGTTATAAATCACACTGACATTAATACATAATAATAATACAGATCATGTAACTGATATTAATACATAATAATACAGATCATCCGTTTACCCATATTTTCGAATCAAAGTGCATTTATGCCCTGTGCTCAGCAACCAGCACTCATATTTCACACATTTATGTGTTTATCAGACAGAAACAGGAAGCAGAGGTAGATTAATATCTATGAGGTACATTTATTTTTTACGAATTTAAATTATTTTTAATTTCATGTAAATGCAAATTTCTGCATATTCTTGTTGCATGAAACCATACAAACTAAATATTTATTTTAAGATGACAACTTGCAATGACCACAAACTGAACCTTGCCCTGAGATGAAAGATATTTTTTTAGTTTTCTTGACTTACTTCTGCTTACTCCACATGTGGGTTTTAACCTCAATTAAAGTAGCAAACAGAAGAATAATATCAGGGCTGTGTAGAGTCACCCAGTTCTGCATGTCCATGTAAGTCCACATGGGCCGGTGCTGACAAGTGGAGTGCATGTGCTGTTGAAGCTCACAAGCTGTTGCAGTTTTGATGACTCTGCAAATTGGCTACAGCATACAGTACTTTAAGCTCTTTCTCACCACAATGACACCTACTCTTTCAGTTCTTATTTTCATTTGTTTTTTCTGGCCTTTGAATAATTCCAAAATCATGTGTGATTCTGGAAGAAGTTTAACTACAAGGTAGAAGTTAAACAGTAAAGAAAATTGTGAATATAACAAATCTGCATTGATAACAAGATTTCTACAAACACATATCATGCTCTGTATTTCCATGATGTTAGAAAAAACAGTGGTTCATTATACAAATGGTTCAGTACACATACAGCTAAGAACAGTAGTTTAGATTCAAATATTTTGTCTCATGCTTTCAGCCAGAAGAGTTTTTTGCTCTCTTTTAATCACCAGGAAAAATAACAGTATATTATAGCTTCAAGACAGAAATATATGCAATGTTGTGATTTTACTACTATAATATTGCAGAGTTGAATGTATAACGCCAGTTCTAGAAAAAATTATATGAATTGCAAAACAATGTGTAATCTCTGAAAGATTTTGCAACAGTGTGTGTGTCAGTCCAAGCACATGAGCACACCATACATACAGTGCCAGCACAAGATTACTACGCAATAACCTGCAAGGATTTGAAAGTCTTTGCAATCGCACATATTGTACTAATGATACATTTTGGTTGTTTACTCTTCTTTTTTTCATTTTTTTTTCACACTGTTCCATGTGACAATGTAGTTGGTTAGTTCTCCTTTGCATGCCTTTTACTGAGAATTCGGCTTGTTGTCAAACTCATTTAGTATTTCCTGTATCATCTCTCTCACTACTAGACCCAAAGAAAACCTCCAGTGCGGCAGAGAGATAACCATCTGAACTTCCACAGCTAAGATGACTAATGTGACTACATCCAGCTCCTCGCTGCCTGTGAGCCATCAAGTTGGGATCTGGTTGCTGTCACTAGCCTTTGTCGTGGGCGTCCCTGGGAACTTGTTTGTGGTCTGGACAATTGTATTCCGTGTGGCACGCCGCTCACTTACCTGCCTGCTGGTGCTCAACCTGGCAGTGGCTGACGCCCTGGTGCTGCTCAGTGCACCGTTCTTTCTCCACTTTCTGGCTGCGGGGCGCGGCTGGCTGTTCGGGGGAGGGCTGTGCAAGACTGTGCACTACCTGTGCTGTGTCAACATGTACGCCTCCATCTACCTGATCTGCCTGATGAGTCTGGATCGCTGGCTGGCTGTGATGCGACCTTTCCTCTCTCAGCGGCTGCGCACCAAGCGCACACTCTGGGCTGTTCTCCTGGGATTGTGGACCTTGGCCTTCCTCTTCGCCTTGCCTATGCCCTTCTACCGTAGGTATGTGAATGTACCGGGGGTGGGGGGGTGATACTTCTGGAAGACTAAATGTGGAGTGAGAAATGTCTAAATCAGGGGTGGCCAATCATATCCAGAAAGGGCTGTTTTCGCTGCAACTTCCTAATTAGATTACTAAGTAGAGGACTAATTGGCTGAAGGATTCTCACACCTGGGCTTGAACAGCTGACTTAAAGGTTATCCCAAAAAGCTGCATACACAGTGGATAATATTGGCCACCCCTGGTCAAAATAATCAGAAGATTCCAAGCAGAATGCTTCTTAACCTAGAGGCAATAAGGCTCGTTGACATTCACTTCCCATTTTAACCTACGTGTGACCAATAGCATGACCAAAGGGAAGAGGTTTAAACCAATTTGATATTTAGATTTATGGTATGGAAACTTCATTATTCCTATTATCCCTGAAGGTGATATGCAAATCCCAAATATTATATGAATATACCATTTTAGATTCTTTAGTTAAATAACTGATAAGTAGCACTGTAGTAGTCCTTCAGCAATTGTAGGGGAAGAATCCATGTTTATGGCTATATGCTGAGTCCTTAAAGGAGAATGGAGTATATACACTACATCAGGGTTTCCCAAACCACCAGCAATAATGTGGACAGTCTAGCAGGGAGCTGGGAGGGAGCAAAAATGAGGGCTGGCTGGGGGACCCAGAGGACCGAGTGGGGAAACAATGTATCATAGGACTGGAATGTCGATGACCTGGTTGAAGCTTAGAGCTTCACTAAATGAACAGAAAAGAAAGCAGATGCTATGCTTGAAAAGTCTCTCAAGTTGGGTTGGGAAACAATGTACTACATTGTACAAAGAGGGAAAAGGAGAGCAGATGATATGCTTGAAAAATCTTATATTCTCTCTATTCTGATGGTTATACCTCTTCATTCTGATTACAGTAACCTCCAGCCATTTATGAAGAAAAATATCTCCATGTACATATGCATGCCGTACCACTGGGGAAGCGTGAATCATGAGGTCTTCCAGTACCTGTGGGAGACACTGCTTGGCTTCCTGCTACCATTCTGCCTCATCGTGGGGTGTTACGCCTCCATCATCTACCGCCTGCGCAGTGCCATGTTCCAGCGCAAGGGCCGAGGAAGCCGCCTCATCCTCATCATCATAAGTGCCTTTGCACTCTTTTGGGCTCCATATCACCTCGTCAATATCCTACAGGTACGCGACCACCTTATCATTCGGATACTCAGTCACTTCATGATCTTACAAATACACGATTCCCTCTCAGTACTGAATAGGTATGCTGTCTTATTCATAATCTTGACTAGGCTGCCTACTGTTTTGTCAGAAATTGAATCAAATAGATGTATGAATTTCAAAGGGTTACTGTACATTTCACATTTGGTTTTGGTTATTTGCAAATTGGCCAAGAAGAATTAAACAGCAATATTTTTTGAGCTTGCCAGATGATGCCAGTGCGGTTCTAGACCATTTCACCTGGGGGGAGGCAGACTGGGACCAGTTGTTCTGTTAGCGGGGCCAGATGCATGTCCTCCAAGTATTTCTTACAGTAGATTGCCAGCATTATGAAACAAAGGAATGTTTTGAAAATCGACAAGTTATTTGTGCAATGCTTTGCAGTCACATTTTATAGTTTTTACAATTATGTAGCTCACTCTGATGTCTTGTTTATGAATTCTACCTACCTAACTAATGATAAAAAGAATTAACAATCAATATAAAACTAATGCACTCATGAAAAAGCACACATACAAAAGCAATAAACATGAAATTAATGACAATTTATGAGCACTTTGCCTGTATTGAGATGAGCTGATGGCTTACTGGAAGTAGCAGGTGGAGTGGAGGAGGGATGTTATTGTTTGGAAGGGGAGACGCAACCTGATCCATACAAGTTTTAGCAGGTCTGTGTGTTTTATCATATTCCGAGTTTTCAAATGAATTGTGGCTAGATTTTTCACAAAGATCCGAATTGGTAGAGTTGAACGCGTCTCTATCACACAAGTTTTAGCAGGACATTCCAGTCCGAAGATTCAACAGACCTATTCGACATCAGAGTTGGTCGAGTTAAAGGGTGTTCGAGTTCCAAGGTTCTATCATATGCGGGGACAATATGGTGAAAAGCAACGTTACAGTACAACTGGCCCCAGTTTGGCCCCCCCAGTTAGTCTAGAACCACCACTGGTTTCTATGACTGTTAAAAAATAAATATATGTACACACACACACACACACACACACACACATGTGCACACACACACACATATGTATGTGCACACATATATGTTTACAGTTTTGTACATAAAAGATGACATCTCATTATTATTAAACAGGCACAATATTACCTATGTCCTCTTTCTTCATCCTGCTTCTCCCCTTCTTTCATTTCCTCACAAAAACTTTCTCTGCTCTCCTCCCTTTTTTGCCTCCCAATGTCTTCCCCCATTCCCTCCCTCTCCAGGTGGCAGGAAAACTACAGAATTTATCCTCCATAAAGAGTTTTGCAGCGGCAGCCCGGCCCAATGTCACAGCCTTTGCCTTTCTCAGCAGCAGTGTGAACCCCATCCTCTATGTCTTTGCTGGCAGCTCATACATCCGTAATGCAGGACTAGGTTTCATGGCCAAACTGTTCGAAGGCACCAACTCAGAGGGGAGTGGCTCCTTCAGCCGTAGCACACGCTCCAGCCGCAGTGGATCCTCCGCTGAGATCACTGCCTTGCGCAAGCTGTCTCTCCGATTTGGTTTTAAGACTGGACGGGACGAGTGGGCGGAGCCTGGTGTACGAACCGACCCTCGCCTGAAGGCGGAGACAGACGAGAAGGTGGGGCTGAAGACAATGACCACGATGGATCAGATCTAAGATTTTTTTGTCCTTGTTTTAATGTAAACATTCATGCAACTCATATGACAAAGTTTATCTTTATTGCAGAAAAGTATTTATTTGTGGTACAGCGTTTAAAAAACAGAAAAAGAATACCGCTTCTTAGAATTCTGTGAAATTAGCAATACAGGAAATGTATTTTTGTATATGTCAGTGTATTTTTATATGGAATTTTTCCAGCATTTAATTTTCATTAAAATATGTACTTAAAATATATCAAAACTTTGTGTGAGTACAGTTTTTGTGACCTAAATTACATTTAGTTTAGTTTTTCGGGAAAAACCTGGGTCACCTTTAAAACAGAGCCATGTGACATACAGAATCCTGTTTTTATCTTTTACCTCCCATGCCTGGAGTGCAGGCGTTGGGGGGTGGTGGTAGTGGTGGTCGGGGGTGGGGGGGTACTGTTAGGATCTACCTCTGCCAGTCCTGTCATGTTCCCATTTGGCCAGCAGATGTCGCTGGTCAAATGAGAACATGGCATTCCTTCCCTGCATTCAGGGGGGACAAACTCGTGCTAGATAGCGTTGCTACTAATTCTGAAGTTGACTGTTCAAGCTTCTATAATAAGAAATATCTGCTTTTTGCAAATTAAAAAATAGAACTAAATGAACGTACTTCAGTTATCTGTCTTTTTATTGGTTAGATGAAGATTACCCCTTGCTTTAATGGTCTGCTTCCCGTCAGTAAAATACATTCATTACATCTATTTTGACATACAGATGCTCTTCTACTTACAAACTTTCAACTTACAAACTTTCAGACATACAAACGAAGAGGACTGTAAGTCCAAATTGTGATCATTGGGCTCCCGTTTCCTGTCTGCAACATCAGTTTTTTTTTTTTTCTGCGTGCCAATTCCGCCTAGTACGACTCCTGGCCTCTACTCCCGTCGCGCAGCAGCGTAGTGTGCGTACTCCCAGCATCCTAGTTCTTAGTACTTTCGTATACCCTTAAAATGATGTTGAATAACGACTTGCGGACATTTCAAGTTACGAACCGCCGTTCGGAACGTATCTCATTCGTAAGCAGAGTAGTGTCTGTACATTTCCCAGAACAGCAAGGAGCGTGGTTATCGTATTAGAGCTGCTTTTGATCAGACGTTTGATACAGGGGAAAAGAAAGATACTGTTAATTAAAGGGAACATACAGTGTTTGCACTAGAAGGATGCTGGAAAGGTAACGGGTCCTGCCAAGACGTCTCAGATATAAACAAAAGGAGGATAAATGCACAGTTTGTTAAATGGCACCGTGCAGGTCGGCTCCTTGTTGTGCCTCGTTACTAATAGTGTTAGTAAAACTCCAGCACTGTTGATTAATCAAAAGGAGTTGCCCTCCCTTTAAAAGAAAAATGTTTTACTTTCAATATAAGATTTTCTCAAGATATGACTGTAATTGTATTTATATAGAATAAAATGAAAAAGGGTGGATTGCCCTCTCTTGGTGGGGGATGAGTGGCTGCCTCAAGTGGAGGAGTTTAAGGGTCTCAGCGGGAGATGAGCTGGAAGACTTCGATTTGCTGGTTGGTTTATGTTCCTACTGTACCTTCACCAATGGTCATGAGCTTTGGGTTGTGACCAAAAGAATGAGATCGCGGATACAGGCATCAGAAATGAGTTTCCTCTGTAGGGTATCTAGGCTCAGATAGGGTGAGGAGCTCGGACATTTGGGAGGGGTTAAAGTAAAACTGCTTCTCTACTGCATGGAAAGGAGCCAGCTGAGGTGGTTTGAGCATCAGTCTAGCATGGCTCTCTGGGGAGGTGTTTGGGCATATTCAACTGGGAGGAGGCCCCGGGGCAGACCCAGGACATGCTGGAGAGATTATTTCTCTTGGCTGGTTTGGGAACGCCTTGGTACTCCCCCGGTGGAGTAGGAGGAGGTGGCTGGTCAGAGGGAGGTCTGGATAAATGGCAGAAAATGGATGGATGGATGGATGAAGAAGTGTGCTAAACAAAGATGATTTGACATAATTTGATGTTTTATTTTATAGATTAATAGTTATATTTTGAAACCAGTCCATCACTTAACACACATTATGAACAAGATGCCAGTTCACATGTTGCATGTTTTTGGACTGCAGGAAGAAATTTACATTTAATTTATCTACCAGATACTTTTATCCAAAGCAACATACTTTTTTTCAGAAAGCATGATCAGACAGTTCCTGGACCAATTAGGATTGAGGACCTTAAACACCCTGCAGACCCTGGGATTTGAACCTGCCCATCCAGTTACAGATACAGTGTCCTAATGCACAGACCACACATGGAGCGAGGAGCAGGAACTGAACCTGGGATGAGTGAGGTTGATGAGTTAGTTCATTACCCTCTGAACTAACTTGTCAACCTATATAACAAAACGAGCACATCCCAATGTACTGAATAAAATATTTCTTTTTGAAATGTTCTGCATTTCAACATAATGTAGCACATCCTCCTGCACCATCCGAATAAAATGTACAACATAGGATTTCCATACCAGCATAATATTTCTAAAATTAAAAAGCAGACAGGGAATATAGCATGAGTGCGTGTGTGTAGCCTGCTACTTCTTCGCCCCTCCAGGCAGTTGTAACACACCAGCAGCGAGGTCAGCATATGGGCGTGGCAGTTTGCCGAGATTGTCCCAGCACCCTGTGCGGGGGTCATAGCGATGCACCCAGGGTGTGTCCCGGGCAGTGTCAACAGAGGAACCACCCAGTACATACATTACTCCATCTAGAAGCACGGCAGCAGGGAAAAGGTGGGGACGAGGCAAGCGGGGAATTGCCACCCAAGTGTCAAGGGTGGGGTCATAAGCCTCGCACTGTAGCTGATCTCCAAATCCCGCCCATAAGGGCTGCAACCCACCAACCACCAGCAGCTTCCCCCCTAGCGCCAGCATAGCGTGCCCAGCACGTCCCACCCCCGCCACCATAGGGGCGCGGCTGGAGCAGCCATGCGATGGGTCATAGCACCACAGATAAGGCAGGCAGCCCGAGCGGGTGTCGCACCCCCCCGAAATGAAGATCTCCCCACCCGACACCGCAGCGGCATGTCCGCACAGAGCCCGGTCCAGGGGCTGAGCCAGCCTGCAAGAGAGCAGAGTGCTGGTCATGATGACGGGAAGAGAAAGGGACGGAAGGAAAGAGTGATGGTGAAGTGAAGCACACGGGATGCTGCGTGATGGAGAAGAGGAGGTGGACAGCCAAGGCCAGGGGGAGACGTACACCAGACAGGGGTAAGAGATGTGGAGGAACAGAGATCCAGATGAATGGGACTGGAAGATACAAAGAAACGAGAGGGACAACACACAGCATAGAAAAAGCCTGGAGAAAGGGAAAAAATGAAGGGAGAAGAAGGAAAGAGAAGTGAGAAGGGTGATATAGAAGAGAAACATTAAACAGAAAAGGAAGCAAGAACATATTCTGCTTTATTAGCTACTACAACAGATAGGATAGGACACGGCCTAAATCAGGGTTATATAAATCCCAGTCCTCAAGGCCGGAGCCCTGCTGCCCACAGCCCAGTCTTCCTTTACCTATGAGCTGGGTGTGAAGCCACTGTGGCCAATCAGAATCAGTAATTATTAAGCCAACTACCTGGGAGAACTGAAAACCTGACCTGGATTTGGAATTGAGGATCTAGATTTGAAGAGCCCTGGCCTAAAAGGTAGCAGGGCATGTTATAGCTTGTTATCTGTCTGATAGAGGTTCATGTCAGCTGGTCCCTGATTTCCGTTACAGTACATAAGAATGTGTTTTTATGCTGTTTACAAGCCTTCAGACAAGGGCTTGTTGTTTAAACTCTTTATAAAAGTCAGAATCCATCCCTGTTTTCTCATGTTTCAGACACTATAGCTGTAGCTGTAACTGTCTGCATTCAGCATTTGGGCTTCCAGAACAGGGGTACAGATTGGGGGGGGGGGGTGGTATTTCCCAATATGGGAATTAAAACAAATTCTCACATATTCATCAAAAAAGGGTGGCATGGTGGCACAGTGGCTGTTGCTTCACACCTCTGGGGCCAGGGTTTGAGTCTCTGCCACACATGAGCTTTTGTGTGTTGTGGGGGTACTCAGGTTTTCACCCCACAGTCCAAAAATATGCTGGGGTAAACTAGAATTACCAAATTGCCCATAGGGGTGAATGCTTTGTGAGTGTGCCCTGCGATGGGTTGGCACCCCATCCTGGGTTAGGGTTAGGGTTAGGGTATCTCAGAACCCCCTGCAACCCTGAATAGGACAAGCGGCTTCAGAACATGGATGGATTTACTGATAAAGCTACCTCCAGGTGTTGTCTTCAGGTGTGTAGAACTCCACAGTGTTCAGGTATTGGGTGTCGTCATGGTTCCCCCCAAACACATACACCTTCCCTGCAAGACACGCTGTGGCAAAGTAGTCCCTTGGAGAGTGCATGTCGGCAACCCTATCCCAGTGGTCCTGTGCTGGATCATACCTGCAGGAGAAGGATGCTAGCTACGGCCAAGAATCAAATTCTCATAACTTACACATACACACACAAAGTATAATGTACCTGTGATCTAGAATTGCTATAAATAGTAATGTTTTATATAACAGTAATAATATAACACAAATATTTTCTGCCCTAGACAAGTAGCCACAGACAGAACAGAAGAAATAGAAACTTGCTCTAGTTAGACAAGGCTGCATACTATTGGCATACTTATTCAACTTGTATGCAGAGCACATAATGAGAGAAGCTGGACTGGAAGAAAACAACTGGGGAGATTTGTGGAATAAACATCAATGACATTTAATATGCAGTTAATATGAGACATATCAGAAAATAAAGAATGTTAAAGAACAGGACGAAAATATCTCACTATGTGACAAAAATGTGAAGAGTGTGAAAGATGCACAGGCTATGACCATGGTATTGGTAGCTAATTTTCATTTTGATGATGAGATGTTGATGACATTGAGGTCATAGCTAGCTCTGGCCCTTTTGAAACGATCACCAATAACAAAGCATCTCACAGACTGGCTTTTGTCTGAGTTACGATGAATATATAAATCTTCAAAATCTCAAAGAACAAAGACCAGAATTGTTCAGCATGTTGTAGTTGCAGTGAATTTTTTATGGATATCAAAGCCGGGCAATGAAGGAACTAGATGGATATGGCTGGCAAAGATTCACAGCGGAGATGAGTACAGACAAATACTGCTGGAGGGGCATGATTTGCGGAAATACAGGGGCTAAGATTGGCAGGCAGGCATGGGTCCTTGGTCGTTAGGTGGCAGCAGTCCCCTCAGGGTGGTCGTCCACTGGGTTGTCTGTTATTGAGGGCAGAGAAAGCATAAGCAATTTACCTATTGCTTTTCTAGTGACCTTCACACGTCACCCCATTGCAGGCCTTACATTAGGCCAAGGGAGACAATCTTGACGTCTGTTGAGTGCAGTTGGCATTTGTCAGCTATGTTCTGATAGCATTCCTTGAAGGTGATGTATCTAGACACATTAATTATTACCTGCCTACATGGTGCTGATCAGCTATTTTTTTTATGTGCAGCAAACTCCTGGTGTAGTATCACCACACACCTCCTTCAAATTATTCACCAGGACCCTGGCCCGTCATGCAGGATGCATAAAAATGAGAGGGGGACAGACAGAGGTCCAGGACATCTGTTGAAGAGGTGCGTAGCCTGTAATGAGGGTGTAGGGCTGTGCAAGGAGTTTCTACCTCAACCCATGGATGGCCAATTTGATGACCAGGGTCTCTCACTTCCGGCCATTGTCCCATCGCTTAGCAGGGGTGCGCTTATGAGAGATTCAGCACTGTGCAAAAGTCATGAATATTTTTAAGGCTATTTAATGATAAACAAGAATTTCATCTGTTCTCCAAAAAGTTACTGATATCTTGTTGGATAGCTAGATAAACTCTGCTTTGGTTTCTAAACCTCTGTTTAAGGGCACCTCAGCCATTCTACTGTATGTATTCATTAAATTTCTCCATCAGCTCAATTAACTTCATTTGTTTAAATCAAATGGTGTAGTGATTAGCTAAACAGGGTTGGATAGTGGCTGAGTTCAAAAATATGTGTATTGGATGGTTGCTGCAAATGCTGTGGTGATTTTAGGATAGTTTTTGAAATGACTCAGCTGACACACGTTGACAGACATAATATCGTAGGTTTACACCAACATGAAGAACATTTATCGTTTTCTGTGACCGCCTAAGGCTATTTTGCACAGTACTGTGTATGTCAGAGTTCAATTCAATTCAATTTTATTTATATAGCACATTTTACATTGTCTCAAAGCGCTTTACTCCCTAGAAGGAAGAAACCTTGAAAGGAACCAGACTCAGAGGGGGAGCCCATCCTCCAGGGGCTGGCAGAGGAAATCAAATGAACAAAATGACAAAATTCTAGCATAAGCATAAGTAGGAGGGAGAGGCAAGTAGGAACGCAAGCATGGGGAGTTACTGAACATCAGGACTCCAATTCCACGAGGGGGTATGATGCTAGAGTGACAGCACTAACAATTTAGTTCATTCAAAGACAATAGCACCGATCCCCAATGTTCCTAATCACTGATCTTCTCTAAGTAGTGAGTGTTGGGAGAGATGGGCAGCTTGAAGTTGCTGTGGAGGACTGTTTGGTGTCCTCAGTCCACTGGACGTTTTTGGGCTAGTTCTTCCAGGTCAAAAAGATCAGAGAGAGGGGCTGGCAAGAGGAAAGCAGTTGGGGACAAAGCAACATTTGTATTTGGCCAGTCCTGGAACGGCCTACGCTTGCATCTTGGTGATGGGGCAAGACACAGTGCAGATGGCTTTTACCTTTCTTTCAGAGCAAGCCCCATCCAATAAGGAACTCGAGATAGTAAGCCTCAGCTAGCCCCAGGTAGCACTAGGGGGGTGGGGGGATGTTTGTAAGCCCTGCCTGCCAGAGGCAAATGAGATGCTCTGTCCAGCTCACAATGTGAATGACAACATTATATATGTAGGTCACCGCACACATTAAATGAGAGCAAAGTGCAATATCCACCAGTTTCCGGATGGATGGCCCCTGGGGGTACTGAAGGCTGTTTTTCCCTTGGAAATGTGAGTGAGGCATTCCTAATGTGGTTGATACAATAATTCTGACCTGAGAAGTGGTGACTGGGTAGACAGGCACAGTAGCTTAATGGGGGGAGGGACTTGGAGGTGGCTTTCAGGATGAGGACAAGAACCGAATCACCAGTGTGTAACTTCTGGGGTTGAGCAGGCTGGTTGTCTGTTCGCTGTTGGGCCCACTCCATGCCTTCCCTCACAATCAGAATGACATTTTTGATTCTTGCCTCACATTTCCCCAACATGGACTACTGTAGTGTGATGCAGTGAGGTAAATCCCATGGGGGCTTGAGGAAATTGTTGAACTGCAAAGATGATGTAGGGCCTGTTCTTGCCTGGCTGGTTGTCCTCATCAGTACTAGCATAATACTAATATACAAGCATATACTGTACATCTATGTCCTCATACCGAATGTGGAGGGACCTTGCTAGGACAAGCCTAATTCACTTGAAGAGCACCTTGACGAAGGGTCACAAGGAAGTGAGAGGTGGTGAACAGGGAGTTTTCCACTGGCTCATGGGGTACCATTGGCAAAAGTTGACAATGGTGGTCCTCATTCCTGGCCAATGGATGAAATTCTCAAAGCATTCTTCAGTGTTTCAGGCCATAGGATCGGCATGACCAAGCTCTCTGATCATGTCCACCTGGCTCTAGGGTACCATCAAAAAGTACAAAACTAAGTACAACAACAGCATGTCACAGACCAAGAAGTCACTGTTTGGGAGGTGGCTGCTCATCAGCTCTTGGGGCCTCATCACCTGTAGACTTCTAGGACTACGAAGGCAGTGATGGCTCAATTGACAGCATTGGCCATCTTGACTAGACTTGTTAAGTGCCTGGCAGATTCATCACTGCTCAGTGTTTGAGAGGGAGTGCAGAAAGTGCTCCAAAGATACCCTTTCTGCTACTTGTTTGTAATGTGTGGAACTCCAGTTGGGACTGATGCCTTTGAAGCTTAGTGGAAAACACATTTAAGAATACCATTGAATGCAAAGAAAACAAACAAGTGAATTCTTCAACAAATCAAACTTAATTTTCATTTTAAGCAGAAATGACAAGACTGAAGCTATCTTCTTTTATGCATATTATAAAATGACCCCGTGCATTTGAAAAGTAGTGCTTAGTAAAGCTGGCTGTCACAATAAGGAACATGTCACTGAAAAGCCTGAGGACCCACACAGAACATTTGAAAGAACACCACTAATCAATATAATAATAATATTAACAATAACCTGTCTTTTCTGGGCTAGGTCCACCAGGACCCTGTGCTGAATAAGCAGTTATGGAAGACAGGTGATTTGAGACCTAGAACAGTACTGACATACAGGTATTTGTGACATGTATTTCAGACATCCGCTATCACAAACTTGACGGTTTGGTGTACCTGATGACAGACTTGAGAATATCTCGTGCCCCATAGTATTTGCGGCCTCCCAGAACGTAGAGCTGGTTGTTGAGGACGCATACACAGTGGCGGAAACGGGGCGGTTCCGGCAGCTCAGTCAGAGACTTCCACTCCACGGTTCTGATGAGTCCCAGCCCACGCAGGAAACGCTGGGCGAACCACAGGCTGCGGCTTGGTACACGCCTAGTGAAATCTTCATCTACAAAGTCACCACCAACCACAACAAGTACCTGAGGAAAGAACCAGTTAATCACTGCTGTGTACGGCACTGTCAAACAACAGCATCAGTGGAAATTTGCAAATACTACAGTGACTGGTAATATCTTTTAGGGAGGACACTTTGAGCTAGGACAGGATTTGTAAACTACCATTTCATTTAAAAGGCCCTTGATTTCACTTAAGCACCAAGTCTTGTTGTGTGCTGCCTGGTCAGTCTCCTATAATCATGCATGTCACTAATGTTAATGTGATACAGCTGGATGAGTCTTTCAATCAAGGAAACAAAACCAGCAAATGTACAAGATAAACCAAACAGGTTAGCAGAGCGTGGCGAGCCTTTCAGTTGTAAAAAAAGTAGTTTATAAAACCTGAAGTAGCTCAAAGTGTCTTTCCTGACATGGATTGTCTGGTCACCCTAGCAAATACCACATAAGAAGTTGTCTTCTGCTATTATATGTGATCTCCACGTATATTTTTATAGCATACAACCATTATATTTTGTTTTTCTTTTATTTACATTCTTATTTCATTAGCTTGTTGTCTAAGTGAATTTTCAGAAAGCATACCCCGTACACAGCAGACTATGTTGTGTAGTATATTGTGCATGTGTCTTGATCAAAGTCTGGGATAACCTGGTTGGGTGTGCGGGGCTTGCAGGGTGGGCCTGTGTGACCAGGCTGGAGATACACTCGTAGTTTCTCCTGTAAACGTTTGCCCCTTAGGCTGCGAGTCAATAGGGTGCAGCTCTGCACCTCCTGTAGCTCAGTATAGGACATGAGGCCAAAGCGTACATGCTCCAGGAGCCCTGGAAGGAAGGGGAGCCTCTCTCCAAGATCTTCCTCGACCCAACACCGCACTGCCCTAAACACCTGTATCTGCAGAGAGACCGGCACAAAACACCACTACCTACAAAGGAGTGGACGCAATGGAAAGTAGCGTAAGGAGAAAAGTAACTCAGAGATAGAAAGAGACTGTCCTACCTCACTGTCCACACAGAGTGAGTCCTCCTCCAGCAAACGTTCCAGGAGAGGAAGGGGCAGGTCTTGAAATTTGTCACCGCATGAGACACTCTGGAATTGTCTGAGGGCGTACTGCTCGGCCTTCCGGCCCAGCTGATCGAGACCGTAAGCCTCAGCTAGTGCCAGGATATCCAGACACGAGCTGGGGTCGATGTGTTCCAGCAGGAACTCCTCACACAGCACAAACACCCCCTGCAGCTGGAAGAGCAGGGCAGCCTCTGCAAGCTCCCACACGTCCTCCCTGCCCAGCCGCAATGTGCCTGAATAGAGAAACTCCAGGATTGCCCACAGTACCCAGCTTGCCACGCCTCGCAGGGAAATCGCCTTCTCACTGGACTCCCTCAGTCCCCCACACAGCAGTGCTCGGAAGTAGTCTCCTCCTGCAGCTAACACTACACGGTGCGCTGGGAGGGGAAGATGACACCAGTAATACCAGGTGAGCTGAAGGATAAAGCTGAAAGTGTTTCTGTATGTTTGCAAGTGTGTGGCTTTCTATTAAGTACTGGCAAATGCTTTTAAAAGTGTGAACTTCAGCTATATTTATATGAATGTCAGTAAATCTATCTATCTATCTATCTATCTATCGATCATCTAGGCAGTTGCCAATGAAGCTCCTTTGGGCTAAATGTAATAAAATATGACCAATTATTGTGCTATTTCATTACTAATGTATAGCAATGATATCTTACTGGGAAATTCTGCTAAAATTCAATAATTTCATCATTTGCAAACAACATATCCATCCAAGTTGCTTACCAAGTAAATTGATTTTGATATCGGATTGACTACTCTTTACTATTTCATACCATCAAAAAATCTAAAAAATAGAATGAAACTTTAGAAAGCCACTCTTTATGAGTGTAATGTCAAAACCAAGGTGACAGTGACATTTCCAAAATAGTTGCTTTGCAAAGTACAACAGTTTGATTCTCTATAAACTTCTAGAATTCTATAACAAACTTAGACAACCAAAACCTTTAACTATATATGTAGAGCATTATATTTTGATAAATTAAGTGTTATACAATGCATGTTATACAATGGCCTTTGAATGGATTCCCTCTGTATATAGCAGTTTTTCTCGATTGCTTTGGTGCATTTCTCAAATGCGTAGCGTCCATGTCTCACAGCCATACAGAACGACAGGGAGCACAAGGACTCTAAAGACTTGGACCTTCGTGCTCTTGCAAAGATACTGAGAGCACCACACACCTCTTTCAAACGGCCTCATGAACCTCCATGCTCTTCCAATCTGTCTGCTGACTTCAAAGGAAGAGTCACTAGAGGCATGAATGTCGTTGCCAAGGTAGGTAAATCTCTCAACAAGGTTGACATTCTCCTCACAGACAGGCACACTGCTGATGGATGTAACTAAGAAGTCATTAGATGCCTGGATCTTGGTCTTTATCCAGGACACATGCAATCCCAGACACTCAGATACTCCCAGACAATCAGACCCCCGATCAGAGCCTCCATTGACTCAACTAAGATCACAGCATCGTCGGCAAAGTCAAAATCTGTAAACCCTTCTTCACCAACAGACGCCCCACAGCTGCTGGACCCCACAACCCTGCCCAACACCCAGTCCATACAAGCACTGAACAGAGTAGGAGCAAGAATACACCCCTGGTGAACCCCAGAATCAACTGGGAAGAACACAGACGTTCTCCCTCCACTCTGCACAGCACTCACAGTACCAGTGTACAGGCCAGCCATGACGTCCAGCAACTTTGGGGGGATCTCAGGATGTCCCACTGGGCAACTCAATCAACTCAGTTGAACACTTTACAAAAATTGACACAGGCTGCAAAGAACCTCTACCGATATTCACGCTTGCATTCGATGAGAACCCTCAGTGCCAGGATACAGTCGATGGTAGACTTCTTAGGCGTAAAACCAGACTGCTCTGGTCGCTGACAGGCAAGCAAGTGATCACGGATCCTGTTAAGGATGACCCTAGCAAGGACCTTACCTGGCACCGAAAGCAGTGTTATCCCCCTGTAGTTGCCACAATCCAGACGATCACCTTTCCAGAGAGGGTCTACAAGTCCCCTTTCAAAGTTAGTTTTAATTTAAATGACGCCTGACTCCTAAATGGAAGCAAAGATCACCTGCAATGCCAGGAGGACAGCCTTACCACCAGCCTGGAGAAGTTCACCCCAGACACCACAGATCCCTGCGGCCTTCTCTACCACCAGCTGATTCAACATCCATGCAATTTAAGTGAAATTGGGTGGTTCACAGTTGATTGGAGGATCAGCTTCGAGAACCATGGACCCAGAGATGTCCATCCTCCTAGCTGGCGGGTCAGCTTTAAACAACTGCCCAAAGTAGCTGGCTAAGCGGGTCACAACTGCAGTGTCATCCACAAGGACTGTTACATCACCCTGTTCTCAGTTCCCTGTACAGACTGGAGTTGCCACCAAGTTGTACACTGCGACTCCTCTCAATAATATCCAAGGTACCCTGAGAGATGAAACGCCTCCTTCTGGGAACACTGGCAACACCAACACAACCCTTGGCAGCCTTCAGGGTTTTATCAAGTAAGGTCTCCCACAGCACATTAGAGTCAGCAGTCGCACCAAAATCTACAAGTTCCTGATACAAACTACATGCAAACTCATCAGAAACAGCTTGAACTAGGAGTCTGGCTAAGTCCAGTCTCATTTTCATAGTAGATGGTAGCCTACTGGATCTAAGCTGAATCATCAAAGTAGCAATAAGAAGTCTGTGGTCAGAATTCAGAATTTAGTTCTGCAGGAGTCTCCAGTGTCTGCTCATGAGGATGTGATCGATCTCCTTTGCTGCACCACCAGTATTGGAGTATCAAGTGCAATAATGTGGCTGAGGGCATTGGAACCAGGATCCAGCGACCCGGAGTCCTTGATCTTTCACAAAGTAAAGCAACACGGAGCCACCTTCACCCCAGTCTCCAGACCCATGGGGACCAAAACAATCCTCATAGCCAGCCCTGTCAGTGCCAGTGGTCACATTGAAGTCACCCATGACCAGAGGAGTGTCACCTCGTAGGCACCCTTCAACCACCGAGTGAAGTTGCAAGTAAAATGTCTCCCTCAGCGAGACATCACTCACCATGGTCAGAGCATACACTGAGACCAGAGACAAGACACCCAAGGAGTGCCTTAGCCTGAGTCTCATAATACGCTTGTTGAAAGGAGTGACAACAGATACCATGAGGAGGAGCTGACCTGCGTCTGCGTACCTCAGAGAGTGCTGCCACTGAAACATAGAGTTTACGAAGCTCCCCCAACAGCAGAGGAAGATGGTCATCTTGCTTGAGAGATATTCCACATGCCTACCCAGATGGACTGCCTCAAACTGGGACCCAAGTGCTGCCATGCAGTGGGTGATGCCTCAGCACCACACCAGCCCCGATCCCCAACAGGCCTGACCCTATTAGCCCTTGTGGTTTGTTTAAAAACTATTAGTGACACGGAACTGTAGTACAGTGGAACCTTGGAACTCGAACACCTCTTAACTCGACCAACTTGGACCTCGAACGGGTCTGTTGAATTTTTTTCAACTAGTACCTCGACCGAAATCTCGGAACTGAACTGTTCCCGCTAAAAGTTGTATGGGTCGAGATGCGTTCAACTCTACCAATTCGGACCTTGAATGGGTTGGCTCAAGAAATATCCAGCCGCAACTCAACTGAAAACTCAGAACATGAGAAAAGAAAACAGACCTGCTGTAACTTGTACAGATTGAGACGCATGTCTGATGGGCTGAAACAAAGGCAAACGGACCTACTGGGATGCTGATGCCCATGAATCACTCTCAGTCTGGTATCTCTCGACTAAGTTTGACGTGCGAAAGCTGTGTTCCTGTGTTTGATGTGATTTTTTTGTGCTTTACTGTATCTACAGTACATTTAGTGATACAGTAATCGTGGCCCCTAAGAAAGTGAACAAACCAAAGACACATACAAAGTAGTGAGAGTAACTATTGAACTTAAAAAGGAAATTATAGTGAGACTTCAAGGTTGTGCACGTGTCTGCTCTCGCTTCGGAATATAGGATTTCATGTTTATTGCTTTTGTATGTGTGCTTTTTCATGTGTAGTTTTATATTGATTGTTTATGCTTTTTATCATTAGTTAGATAGTCATTTGGGGGTCTGGAACAGATTAAGTTAATTTACATTATTTCTTATGAGGAAATTCTACTTGGACCATGACCAAATAGCAACTCGACCAGCCTTCTGGAATGGATTGAGTTTGAGTATCAAGGTAGCACTGTATTTTTGTCCCACACTTGATTTTATTGCCATTTTGCTGTTTCATTCTTATAGAGTGCTGTGTGACATTTTTTGTAATTGTACTGTGTCTTCAGATCTGAGAAATGCATGTGAGTGCTTCTCTTGCCACGTAACTTTACATATTGTAATGTAGAGCCTTGCAATGTTGAAACTGAGGTCTTTGACATAAGTATCTGTTTCCTAAAAAATAACGATCAGTCAATGACAGAAAGTGGAAGACCGCATTCAGAATTTTTGAGCTCAGAAACACATTTGCACTAACATACTGACAATACATCTATACATTAAAATAATGCTTTTCATTTTAGCGGTACTGACAAATTCACTGCAATTATTTGTTTTTTTAGACATCAGTTTGTTTTGGGTGATATACAGCCTTTTGTAGCTGAACCATAATGTGCTATATGCATAAACTGTTTTGAGAAATGCTCTTAAAGTCATAAGAATGTTAAGTATGTCTCGTGAAATGTGTCCAAGCAATCGAGATACTGTAACAGCATTAATCACAAAGGGTACAACATGCTCAGGACATCAGATTGCTACTAGACACACATTCACACTCTAGAGACACTAGAAACACTAACCCACCTAAGTTGCATGTAATAGCAGAAAGAAGAGTACCCAGAGGAAACCCACAGAGACACCCACTCCTGATGTACACAGAAACAGCAGAAATCAAATGCTCAGGTCTGGAAGTGAGGCCATAGTGCCATTCCCTGAACCTCTGCTGAGAAACTTCCCTATACCAAGCAAGTTCGTTTAAGTAGTATTTGTGTCAGATGTGTTTTTCTAAGGTGGGTGTTTCACAAAGGAACATTTTGGGCTAACACGTGTAAATATGTTACTTTGATGGTCAGGCAGTTTCCTGGAATACAGATTAAGTGGAATGCTCTTTCTGCTGCATAACATACCCATGATTCATTATATACTTTCTTGATTTTATAAAATGTGACTTGCTTTACCAAGAAAATTATTTATCATGTGATTTCAGCACATTTTGGTGTGAATATGGCTCCTGATAAAATACATGTGTACTCTAGATATCAGCATTCCTGATTTCCTCAGTCTAATGTTTGCTCATATATAATCCCGGTTTGGCTAGCAGACCTTTTGCCCTTTTCTCTGCTTTACTAGTCTCTTCCTTTCACAATCATGAAGCCATAATAATCAATAGCTCTACCTTACGCTGGAAGTTGTCCCTCATAAACCTACTCTATTGATCACAATATCTTGAATCTTCAGTCATGGCTACCTTTAAACACATATGGTTAAGATGGGTACCAATCTAAGTCAAAGCTTCCAGCCAATATGGCTCTGTTTCTTCCTTCCAAAGATACTTGCTTACCTGGGAGGCTTTCTCCACTGTCTGTTTGTAGCCACACATCACAACCGACCTCTTCCTTCCATAAACGCCTGATGACTCCCAGGCTGACCTCCATCTCACAGTTAGCAGGGGCCAATGGACTGCATGTCTGCATCTCCCTAGGAAAGGTCCTGGCTAGACGTTCAACCCCAAGGAACCTGCAGGTTTCCAGGATGTCATCACCAGTCATATCTATAGCTGTGTCAGAGCTCCCAGTGTAGGCAAATTCCAGCACAGCCTGCAGCCCTGCTTGTGACACCCGCCCATTTAGTAACTCCATCTCTGTCCCTGCCTTGCCACAGCGGAACCACGCCTCTGCAGTGTGGCTGACAGCGGCTAGCACCAGCCCATGTGCCCTGTAGGAGGCACCATTGAGCTGCATACTCAAGTCCAGTAACTGGCCTTTATCCCGCAGGTTACGTAGCCCAGAAAACAGAGAGTCACAATGAGAAGGTAGATTGCATACGAAGGGCCTGGGATCAGCAGGTGGGGTAAGGCCGCAGGTAAAGGGCGTGGACCCTATAGGTCTGATGGTTGACTTCGGAGTGTAACTGTCTTGTCTTCCTCTTTCATTTGGTGGCTTTCTCTTCCTCCCGCTGTCTGGAACTCTGGACATTCTCCTCTTTGAAATGAAAAGGCAAAGGTCAGCATTAAGATTTAGTTGTGATTGAATGTGTCGAAACAGATGTTCCAAAGATTTAACCTTACCACTGTTTTAAGTGTACATGAACATTGAGCCATTGAATTGTTTCATATGTGTATGTTTTGTGTGTGTATAGCCAAATGCAAGATATATATGCACATGTCTGTGCTGGAGTTTGCTTTTTATACTATTTCGGTGAAAGAAGTTGGAACTGAAAACTTTATTTCAGGCCATCGCAATTGTTGTTTGGTAGTTGTTATACCCATCCCAGCGCATGACTTGATAAACTCAGTGACTAAGTGTTACAAAATTAGAACAGTTTAAATTAGCTACAACACGGATATGTGGTCCCTTTGTCTTTCATTTTACAAGCAGTCCCATTTACCATTTGCTGTTTTTGTATAAGTAAAAATGTTGTTCCTCCTCATGTGCTTTGAAGTTTTCTCTTCCTTACCTTCCAGCTCACCAGCCCGTGTAGAACCAGAAATTTTCAGGGCAGAATCCAGGCGCAGTGCTTGTCCATGACACCTTGTGCGCCACTAACATGCTAATTATAGCTGCTACCAAGATATGTCGGCTCAGGCCCGGTCATACTTCCCCAAGGACAACACACCTCTTTTATCCCACCTACCGAACAGATTTGGTACTGACTGACACAAAGTAAATCCTGAACCTCAGTCATATCATGTGGCGCAATTAGTGCTGACCCATGGGAAGAGTTTTATGTTTGAGAATTATTGATGCCAGGACCTGATTTTAATTGAAAACCTGTGGTCAGATTTGAAGCACGAAACCCACAAGCGTCATCCTAAGATCTTAAAATGTTCTGCGTCATGGAGTGGTTCAAGAATGTTCAGTGCTGTTCTTCTCAGGGAGATGTGGATATTATACACATGGGTGCCAATGATTCTGAAAAGAAAATAATCGTACCACTCAATCTAATGCAAAACACTTGAGCAGAGCATAGCAATCACTGTTATTGTTTTATGCAGTCATTTTTGTTCATTTTTACGAAGGATGTGAATAATTCTTGAACTGGCTGCATACTGTATGTACCCTGACATAAGGTAAACAGCCATACCAAAATATTAATATTAAGGACCCAATAAAAAGTAGGGCCACCATCTCTCTTTAGAACAATTTCAGTCCTTCTTGGAATCTTCTTCTGTACACATTCTCCCTCTGTTGTGTATTATGATTTTTTTTAGCCACAAGTACACCCTGTTAATCTCTACTGTCATCATAATTGTTTACATGACAAGATTCCTCTACACTAACTTTATTTTAACATATTTTAACAGGCTGAATTATATATTTTTTTTGTGCAGAATATTTTGTAATTCAGATGTTTGATAACACTGTGACCTAACAGTCTGATGGGAATCCATCATGCGGCGGCTGAAAAGAAACAGTTGCGGATGCATCCATTGCCTGTGTGGAAAGCAGCACTAAAAAGACTGCTGCCTTCTAAGTTATCCCTATTGTATATTTCTTCCTTAATAAACCTGGTCCCTTAAGGAGAATTTTTCAGCATCCTTGCTTCCTGTGCCTGCTTGCCCACCACACCAGTGAATGTCTCTCCATCAGGCACCAGGGTGACAGCATTATGGGAGGAAGGTGCATTATGGGAAAAAATATATACAAAGAGAGGTCTTTCAGGAGGCAGCAGTTCCTATAAGGTGGTTATTCTCTAAGGCAGTCCACAGCTCACCCACCCTTTCCCTATCTGCTTTCTCCCTAGTGCAAGCTTTAAGTTGTACTAGGTAAGACAATTTTTGCCCTAATTGTGCTTCATTATGCAGAAACCATGATTACTGTAGGCATGTGTGGTGCTGATTGCCCTCTTCTGGTATGCGGTGGCTCCCCTTTGGATTGTCACATTGCATGCACTCATTGGCCACTTTATTGGGAACATCTGTACACCTGCTCATTCAAGCAAATATCTAAATCGCCAATTATGGGGTTCAATGCATAAAATCAGTTACTGGTCAGATCAAACATCAGAATGGGGCTAGTTGTGATATAACTGACTTTGACTGTGGCATGACTGTTGATGTCAGATGGGACGGTTTTGTCACATCCTGCCAGCCACGTCCGCCTGACCCTCCTGTCCCCTTCCTTGCGTAGGTCTATACGTGCCCTGCTTTCCTCTGCTCCTCCCATTTTGACCCCTTGTGATCTGGTTTATTTCCTGTCTGTGAGTTTAATAAAAACCCCTTTTGTTTTGCAACCACACCTGTCCTTGAGTCCTTTGTCCCGCCCGACATGACAGAATGACCGGACTCCACAAATTAGCCAGCGGCTATTCCTGGAAGCCTTTCATGTTACGTATTTCTACCTGCATAATTTCCTCTACACCTGACCTGCTCTCAGTATCCGAGCCTCGCTTGCAGCGATAGTTGGTGGACAATCCCCTAATTGACCCAACAGTCGCCTCGGCGGCTTCCGATTCTGCAGTCCCCTCCGTGGCCTCCGGTCCCACTGGCCACTCGGTGCCTTCCAGCCCTGCTGGCCCTTTGAGGCCCTCTCATCCTGCAGTCTGGATGGGCTCCACCTCACCAGTGAACAGGCTCAGGTGGATCTGCGTCCCAGGGTCATCACCAAACCTCCCACGATCCGGAAGACTTCCCGGACACCTCCTGTTTTCATTGAGTATACCTCAGTCCCTGTCCCAGTGCCCTCTTTTGCCTTTGATTTTTCCTGGTCTGTGTCCCCAGTGGCTTCCTCTTCCGTTTCCACTCCTGTCTCTGTGGCCTCTCTACTTGTCCGTCCTGTTTTGGTGTGGCCTTTCTTTCTCTGCCTGTTTTGCTCACTGGTCCCTGTTAAGGTCTGATGTTAGTCCGTGGTCCCAAATGTCATCTATTTCATCTGTGTGGCTCGGTCCGTTGCTCTCTCCTGCTGTCCTGTTGGTCCCTGGTCCAATCCCTGCTTTTTTACTCCTTATCATGCCATTTGTCCTGCCTGGCTGTGTCCTGTCCAGTGTCCCGTCTTTCCCCATGTGTCCGCCCTGTCATTTGGTCCCTTTGGTCCCCTACTCTGTTCGTCCTTCATTGGGGGGGGGCAGGTACTGTCACGTCCTGCCCACCACGTCCGCCTGACCCTCCTGTCTTCTTCCTTACGTGACCCTGATGGTCCATGCCTTATGTATAAAAGTACCTGTTTGCCCCGTCATCACTAGTCCAATCATTGACATCGTACGCTTGTGTTGCCTGTGCCCTGCCTTCTTCCGCTCCTCCCGTTTTGATCCCTTGAATCTGGTATATTTCTGGTTTTATGTTCTGTGAGTTTAATAAAAACCCGCTTTGTTTTGCAACCACACCTGCCCTCGAGTCCTTCGTCCCGCCCGACATGACAGGTTTAAGTATTTCAGAAATCTGATCCCCTGGTATTTTCTCACACATCTCCACAAAAAAACTCTAGTGAGTGGCAGTTCTTTGGAAGGGAATAATTCTTGATGAGAGAGGTCAGATGAGAATGACTAGACTGGTTCGAGCTGACAGGAAGGCTACAGTAATTCATATAACCACATTTTACAACAATGATGAGCAGAAAAACATATCTGAATGTACAATACATCGAACCTTGATGTGGATGGGCTAGAATAGCAGAAAACTACCTCAGGTTCCACTTTTATCAGCTAATAACAGTTGAAGATCGGAAAAATGTCACTGCTTCCCAGATTTTGCTGGGACATGCAGATGGTGAGATCCAAATTCAACATAAACAGCATGAATCCATGCACCCAACCTGCCTTGTGCCAACAGTTCAGCCTGGTGTTACCTCTTTTTCTGCAACTGAGGTACAGTAAGTGGATGAAGACATACTAAGAGATATTAGGTAAGCTACAAGCAGAAAATGCAAGCAAAGGACACTCACAAATGAGACCGAGAACCTCATCTCCAACAGCAGTGACTTTAACCCGATACTCGTGTATCATTTATAAATTATGTCATCATACTGTTCTTGTGGTGTTTGCATCCAAATTGGGCCATTGATTTTTCTCCTTCTTATGAGTCAGCTAATAAGAATAAAGAAACCCACCCTTGGGAGTTACATAACTGTGCCACAATGAACTGGCACTAAACCATTTACAATGTGGCACAGTGGGTCAAATACAGCCATCAGTTAGGAGTTAATTATTGTCACCATAACTTGAATGCATTGTTGGTTTCCAAAATCAACACTGTCATTTTCCCATATTGATAATAACAGGATACAAGCATTTCTGAACATGTTGACAAAGACTTTGAACCGCAAGGTAAATACAGTATAGCTGTAACTGATTTATTTTGGTTTAATATTTTAAATGAACCCCACAACCCTGACCAGGATAAGCAGTTGGAAGATGGATGGAAAGATAGTTGGATCTTAAATCTAACATTGCTTTCAAAATCAAAACAAAAATAGAATCAACTAAATCAACAGGACGCCAAACCTATTACTACAGACTCCAGCTACAGTCAAGATATTTTCAGTTAGAAAATGACCATTTCCACAAATCAGCCTCTATGGAAACTTTAGGATAATATTTTTGGAAATGTTTATGCTTTTCTGTGCTACTGACAAAAATGTGACGATCTCACCATTCTGTGGAAATGGTATTCACGTTTCCAAAAGGTGTAAGTTCTGCTGAAACCTCTCTCATTAGTAAATTTTAGTATATTGAACCCTCAGCAATCTAGTTTAGATGCTGTTTACAAGTCTGACAACATTCTAATGCTTGCTCATATCGTCCATACCTGATTTTAACAAAGGATAAAGACTTACAGGTCCTTTCTTACCTTGAGGGCCCTGCACATTCTGGAACAGCAATCACATTGTCTGCATCATACTCCAATTTTCCACTTTTCATGGAAGGATACCTGCTCTACACACACATCTACATCAATATGTTTTCATCAAGATTCAGTCCTGGGATCTTTCACCATCTTCTCCTTACTTTTATTCTCTATACATTGGAGTCCTTCTAGGATCAGTCC